TAACTGCAAATATCCCCCGACTTTGTGGTAGGTGCTAATCTAGATACGAATAACTTGAAGGGAGGATTAGGGCGAACCGCTGTGATGGCGCACGATTCATCCACACTGGCTATTCCAACTGTCGGCTGAGGGCGCCTTCGTCTCCGGCTCTTGACCATTGTGAAGCCATTATCATCACGCACAGGTGCCACATTCATGGTTACCTCGGCAACATGCGGCTTCACTATTTCGAAACCACCATCGTTATTAAAAGGTGTTACATTCCTACTTACACCAGGAACACTCGACTTCACTTTTGTTGCATATGTGGTCGTATTGCCCTCTTTCACCAGAGAGTGTTTTCCCACAGAACCTGTATAAGCGCGACTAGAATGATTAAAGCCCTTGTCCTGCTTCCCGTCTTCCATACAATCTCGTGCAAATCCTCACATCCTCAGACTGTATACTTCCAGGGCCCGGCCCGTATATCCTGATTTTCAAAATAACTTTTCATAAAATTCATTTCGTTGCGTAGGTTTTTAACTTCTTGTATCAATTCTTCATTTACCTTTGATTGAGATCGTAGAAATGATTCCTTCAGCTGAAATACTTCTGATCTAACCGATTTCATTTCCCTAGTCATTACGGAGACATTCACATGAGTAAGATCAATTGGTGGTCCTTGGCAAAAAAACATGGCAGATTTTCGTCATCCGATTCGTAAATCAATTTTATCATATCCTGTATATTATTGGATCGATTGTTTTGGCCCTGTCGACGTTTAATGTATCGCGATGTAGAATCATTACAACACAAATCAAACAACAGTTTCTTAGAACCTTCAACATCCTCATCATCAAAGTGGTCTGTGCACAGCTTGACTATGAGATCGGTTGGCAAAATATCGATCTTATTGACCAAGAAACACAACAATTCATTAATTACTGCGACATCTGCGGACAGACATTTAGGACCGCCTCCTGTCGTGAGAAAACCATCACTGTTAGGATTACTGGATCCAAAGCGTTTTTTTATTACAGTCTGGGCAAAGTTGAATATCACCCTGGGAGAAAACTACCCGTTGAGATACCTCGCCACAGTCTTCACATCGAAGAGAACTCATCGCAATCCACAGTCAGTTACCTGACACAACAACGTACACCGTGACAGCGCACTTTAAATTGCCTAATTCACAAGCATTGAATAGTCTTTCAAACACCAACTCTTTCTAAGATGTTCATGGGACAATCATAAAACCATATACTCACTTCTACATCCGATAAATCGCGAATTTTGAAGAAATATTCGTTTTTTCTCTGCAGCGACATGAAGAAGGTAGGATAGGCATCCTCTGTTAATCGCAGTGATTTGTAGTGCTGTTCTACCACCATAAGACGTTTCTTCACTTTTATTTCGTGGTACATAGGAAAGGCCTTCTCTGACCAGTGTTTTCTTCCAGCGCTGCCCGAGAGGTTAGACCATTATATCCGCCCCTCATGCTCAAGGCACTCGACGACCACCTGCCACAAAAGACAACACGGTAACCATTGTAGATTATAATTTTAAAGCTTTGGATGTCATTGAGGCTGTAAATGGAGCATGTGGAACTGAATCTGTGTTAGCATGTGTTAATATTAATGGTGTTTGGCAAATAACTCTGGTTTCTACCGAGTCTGTTGAACTCCTACTCGAACAAGGCATTGCTATTAATGGTGTGGAGTGTGAAGTACATGGTGTGAGACGTAACTTCCTGACAGTAGCTTTTTTCAACGTTCCTGCTTATATTCAGGACGAAGTAATTACATGCCGTTTGGAACAATTTGCATGCACAATTAGAAGCCCAGTGTTGCACAAATACTACCGAGAGGCCCCCTCCATTGCAAATGGTACTCGCTTTGTTCGTGTTGAATTCCCAGCAAGTGTTAAGTCACTGCCTTATGCAATCAAGTTTGAAGACAATAGGCCATACACTCGTTTATTACATAACAATCAGCATAAAGTGTGTAACAATTGTTTAAGTGAAAGCCACGTTATCCACGACTGTCCAACCTATATGTGTAAAATCTGTAAACAATTCGGTCATACAGAGAGAATCTGTGAAAATCGCAAGTGTTTTAAATGTGGACAAAATGGTCATATTGCACGTCATTGTTATATCTCTGTTAGAGACTTCACGGAAAAGAAAGCAGTCGTTAAGCAAGTCGAATCTACTGAGGAAAATAATGGAACACCAATGGAGACAAGTTTAAAGAAAACGAATGACAACGGCGATGAGAATGCTAGAAAACCTGATAACGAATATTACAGTGACGGTTTGGACGAAACGGAAAATCTCGGTTTTGAAAATGCAGAAGAGGCTGATGATTGCAGCCGTCCGGACTCGGCATCTCACAACCTCTACCTTTCAGACAATGAAGCAACTGTCAAAGACGACCAAAGAAAGAGAGTAATAAAAAAACAGGCTAACAAAGTTGTCTACAACCGTCAAACGGCAGCACGATTCATCTACAGAAAATGTCATCGAAGGAAAAAATAGCACCAAAACCGAACATTGAACAATCACATACCAAATTTAAACCGACCGATGCCATCACAGACCAGGTCGTATCAGGAAAGGTAATTAACGACACCTGAACAATGATTTTGTTACAATTACCACTTATTAGTTATGTCATTATGGTCACACTGGTATCTATCAATATTAACGGTCTAAGATATCAGACAAAACTATCAGATACAATACAGTATTGTAAACTTCATAAATTGTCGCACTACAAGAACGTTCTGGACTGACTCCGAAACTCCAAAAATAACACAATCCTGGGAAGGCGAACTGATTACAAGTAATTTGGAAAACCAGTGTGACCGTGGCATGCGTGGTGTTGTCATGTATAGAAAACATCCGGTATAACTGTAACAGATTATAGCGAGAGTCTCACGTTTCCAGGAAGGCTTATCCAAGTCACACTGGATATCGATGATAATTATATTAATTTGATCATAGGGTCTATGATTTGATTAATGTGTATGCCCCCAACAATATGACAGAAAGACGACGCTTTTTTGAACACTTTTGCCAATATTTGTGTAACGATTTTATTTGGAGGAGATGTGAGAAAAGCAAACACTTGTTTCCGTAGTGTAGTGGTTATCACGTTCGCCTAGCACGCGAAAAGTCCCTGGTAATCTGACACTGTAAAATTGCAAGATTGTGTGATCAAGATTGTGAGAAAAACAATCAATTCACTTTCGATATATTAAATTTCCATGCATACAGCGATAACGGTCCAAACATATACACAGGGGAAAACAAATTGCAAGTAGTACTTGCAAGTGCTACTTGAAAATTCGATAACGTGAATCAAAATGCAGTTCATTTTTAATTAACGCCACATAAATGTGCAGTTCAAAAGAATCCCGTAGCTTCTCTTTCATGCATTGAGTATGTTTACATACACCTATTGTAAAGTGGGTTTGACCTCTCTATTGAGTCTAGGACACACTCACCCAGAGGAGAGTGGCTTTGACCTCCCCATTGAGTCTGTGGCACACACATCCTTGTTACGGATATTGTTTCCTCTTTGTTGAGTCTGTGGCATATTCAAAGTTGGTATAGTGGTGTGCGTCCTCCCCATTGAGTATGTGGCACACCTTCGAGGGTACACTAGCCTTGTCCTCTTCGTTGGTACTCGCCCATGGTACAGTGGATTTGACTGCTCAATTGAGACTGTCGCACGCTCACTTAGAGTATAGTGGCTTTGTCCTCCTTATTAAGTCCATGGCACACACCCATATTACAGCGTATTTGGCTTTCGTATTTAGTCTATGGCACACACACACACATTCAAGATTAGTGGTTCAAACTTCCCTATTGAGTCTGTGACAAACTAACCCAATGCCCAGTGGCATTGCTTCTCCGTAAATTGCATCTATGTATTGAATATGTGGCACACTCACTCAGGGTAGAGTGAATTTGGCTCTGTGGCACACTTAGCCATGGTACAGTACATTTGGCCTTCCTATTGAGGCTGTGACATACTCACACACAGGCTTTGACCTCCCTTTTGACGATGTGACATACTTACCCAGGGTACAGTGGCATTGACCTGCCCATTATGTCTGTGGCACAAACCCATTGGACAGTACCCATTCACCGAGGTAGTCTGTGGCACACTCAATCAGGGTTCAGTGGTTTGATCTTCCAATTGAGTCTGTGGCACACTCAATCAGGGTTCATTGGTTTTCATCTCGCCTTTGTGTCTGTGGCAGACACACAATGTATGTGCATTCGTCGTCCCCATTAAATATCAGGCACCAATAGTACAGTGGCGTTGGCCTCTCCATTGAGTATGTTGAACACTGTTAAACAATACAATGAGTTTTATGTATACTTGTGTGTCAAAAGACAAATTAAATTAAAATCCCACTTTGCCAAATCAGAATGTGTTAATAAACATTGAAAGCCATTCACACTTGTTGACGTCGTCTCGGTATCACGTGTCCTCGTTTATTAATTGTTTGGAGTTTCCCGGTTCATACTAGTCAATTTATAAAAAAAAATGTTGTATTCAGGAATGAGAGCTTTCATAACCAATAGTTTGTGAGTCTATTTGCCACAGTTTTTCAAAGTTTAATATATTTCCTCGTCTGTTTTCCCTGACAGATGTACGTACGCTAAATTTGATATGCCTGAGTGTGATTACCTATATCCTGCTCCATGAAAATCAACGTTTTACGGATGCATACTCTACTTTCTTATTGGTTAACTACCATGTTGAATACGGAATAGAACATTTACCGTGTCGAGTCACTGCTTTGTTACTTTGACTCACATAGCCTTCCAGCTATGAACGGTGAAAGAGGCTGTATTCTAATTTACCGTTCTACCACTCCCACCACATATGATACCCACGTAACGTCTTGGTGATGACGTACTTGTAGCAGCACGTGGTGCTATTTCACTATGGACTTCAAATGGTCATGTGATCTGGCGGGACAACGAATGTCGCCATTTTTTCGAAATGGATGATACTACTGGCTTAGTAGACATCACCACTCCCCAGTGTGAATATGCGGTCATTGAGGAGCATCACAATGTTGCTTTTTCAGATATCCCTGAAACCGAGACGCAGGTGAGTACTATGATATCAAAACGTGTATAATACTGAGATATTTTGTATAAACAACAGACCAAGTTACCAAACAAATCGAAGAGTCAGACAAAAGTGGTGCAGTAAGGTGAAGGACTAAATTATTTAACTATTTGTTTGTATATTTAAAACTCGCAGATTCGGTCAGTCCGTGAGGTGAATACGTTCATGTGCAGTTGAGTTCATGTTCATGTTCAACTATACAAACAGAGAGCCGTGATTTGTTTCGAGTCATGGTCTCCCTTTGCTACTATGGTTACAATTCGCTTGAAAAAAATATTTACACGTAATATAAAAAAGTTATAAGCAAATTATATTGTTTAATATCTTGTTTGTGTTGATGAGTTAAAATATACGCGCGGACACGACACGGGACGCATTGAGTCTGCAGCACACCCACCACGGGTACAGTGGATTTGGCTTTTCCGTCGAGTCTGTCACATACTCGCCCGGGGTACATTTATTAGTAATGAATTAGAATGAGGGAATACAAACAACATTACATCAAAGCAAAACAAAATTCAGTTTCTTGTATCTCTTATATATAGTACGTGGTCAGATTTGACTATTTTCACGTATATGTGCATTTACAATAGACAGTTAAAAGGTTTACGAATAACCAAAAGACAGCTAACATGCTCTTGTTTCAGAAATACAGTCCCATTTTTGTCAAATCTAAATTTTGTAATAATACATGGAAAGCCTTCCAAACTTATTGACGTCGCCTTGATACTTCTCTGTTGGTGTTTCCCGGTTCACACTACCCAACATGTTGCTCGTTACTTTGCAGTGGTATGTATACTCCTATTACTATGATGACAATTTACATATCAAAGCAAACATTTTTTACCCGATATCAAGCGTGACGCCGTGGCACGCATTGTGTGACAGAATACAAGTGTTTGGTTTAAAACTCTAATATCCTTGTTCCTGGTTCATAGGTTGTATTATATGTTTGATGGAATAGTAATTTTTGGCGGATTTAAGTGTTTATAAACTCAATTCTACTAAATTGCAACAACACCTGCACATGAGGTAGACGGCCATGGCATTTTATTACAAGCAAGCGTCTCTCGGTGAGCTCTTGCATTTTTAGCGTTCATTGTTATCATCGCTTAGGACTCAATTCTCGCGCGTACAGGTGACACCTTTCCGCTCCATGCTCTAATTGACTCAATAGGTGATTTTCCGTACAACTGCGAGATCTCGCGAGATGCATGAAAGACGCGCGTCGAACGTCTGCCGCAAAAATCGAACGATTTGATTTTGAACTCGAATTTCTTTATTTCGTAGCGCACATCGACCGGCCGATCTTCGACAGAGGAATATTGCTTTCGAATATCCTCACTTAATCGAAATTGCCCATCATCAAATGTGTACAGCACATTATTGACATGGAAATGTTTCCCAAAATACTTTTGCGTTTGTCGAATCTCACGCGATGTTTGACGCCACTACGACGCTATGACCTTTGTTTGTCCTGTTTTTACGTTCGATTTCACGCATAACGCGTGATTCTCGCAGTGAACGGAAAATGGTCTATTTTTCAGAGTATTCAGCTCAGTGGCTCTACGAAATCAATCATATGACTACAGCTCTATGACCAGCGCATTTTTGTCTATTTCATCGCTTTAATCACGTGACACTTCTTATTAGAAAGCAAAATAGCATTAATAAGAAGACACTGGTATAACGGATCCGGACCAGTGTGATTTTCTAACCACTCGTTTGTATGTACGTTTGCCACAGTTTTTCACAAATTTAATAGATTTTTTGACTACTTCCCCTTAAAGATGTATTGTATAAATACCAAGTCTTATATGGCAGAGTAAGGTTATATGTCTTTCGGTTCATTTACAGATCTTTTAATTTGAGTGACAGGTCGCTGCTTTGTTGTATTAAATTACATCGTACACCAGCTGTCAGTGAGGTTTTTTTTCTATTATTATTATTATTTGCACACACAACTAATTTATAAATAACTGATGCACAAACAAACAAACAAACACACGCACAAATACACACATACTCGTATATTACGCATACCTGTACTTGCTTTCAATTATATCTGTGGATTGTAAAGTTTTTCCATTTCTTTAGGGACTGTTTTTCTTTCTCAAAAGTTGAATTTATTTTTTTAAATAATTGATATCTGATGGTAATATTTCGTTTTGGAAATATGTTTTTAACAATGAAAAATAATATGATTCAACACATTTGAAAACCGTACATCTCTTAATATTATTTGCTGTGCTGGTAGTCTATTCGGACTCGAACGTGTTCCCCAAATATTTGAAAAGGCCATCCAAATAACTTCACAATAACAAACTTCACACTTCGAGAATACGTGTACTAGTGGTTCGCTAGCTTTTTGTCAAAATGTACAGACACCAAGCGAGAGGAAATTCATGCAAAATAACATTGAGCTAAGGTCCATGCGAATTTACGTAGTATGCTGTATATGGTCACTGAGATTGGCAACATTAATAGAAATTTTCATTCTGATATTTTACATTGAAAAACAAACTGGCTAGTTGGAAGAATATCGCTCGGAGGTAACATTGCGGATTATTGGGAGGTGGAGGATGACAACATTACCAAAAAGTCGTTCAAAAATATAGAAAAATATAGTTAATTTAGGTAGGTTAATTGCTGTGTCTTTTTTTTCCATCTTGGTGCAATAAACGGTAATATACATTACCAGTTTAAGATTGATAAAGCTTAAACCAGTGTCACTGAAGTCTCCCTAATCTTTAATTTTATCTTTGAAATTAAAAATATCAGAAATATACACAATTCCAAGCTTGTATAAATTGCGGTTAAAAATGCTGGGAATATTTGTGTTATTCTATATCATTTCATATTCCTGTGGTATATATTTACAATGGTTTTGATTCATAGCAGACCAAGTATTTACAATTCCATGGTAAAAGTGAGATATACGAACACCGTCTACTTTAATGTTTCACCACGCCCATAACATAAGACCACCATGTAACGTTTTGGTGATGATGTATTGGTAGTTTCTTTTTTCAGATATTCCTGAAACCGAGACACGGATGAGTGCTACAATACAAATGCGCATGCCATTGCGAACTCAACGTATTGTACATGCTAGCGTGAGATTGGTGTCATGTGATGCTACTGCCACAATGACGTACTGTACAAGCTACTGCTAGTTTATTGCCTCTTGTTTTTTTCTTTTCTTTTCAATATTCGACGGTTTGCATGTAATCTTGTACCAACAAGCTCTCGTTTCAGGATTAAAATCCCATTTTTTGACGAAACAAATCTCACGCCCTCGTTAAGTGTTTGTTTTGGTGTTTCCCGGTTCACACAGGTCAGCATTTTGCTCGTTACTTTGCATTAGTATGAATACGCCTGTTACTATTGTGTAACTGCAGGCAAGCGTAACGATATGGCACGATATTTGTTTAATGGTTTGGATTTCGTACTTCTTGCGACAAGCTTTAACATAGACTCCGTTCCAGTCTTTTACCCCTTTCTCCGTTTCTGTCTTTTGCCGCTTCGCTATTGTGACACTGCCCAACTAAAAGGCCCGCCTGGTGAGCCGATCGTGTTGTGTAAATTGAACCCTTGAAAGCAGAATAACAAACAAAGACAACTTGCTGTACAAAGGGAGTGGTGATCGTGCCGATGTTGCAAGTTGTCGTCCGATATCTGTTTTATCGTGATTATCGAAAATACTTGGAACGTTCATAATTACCCATTATTATTTTTTCACACCAACCATCACTTAAGCGCTCAGCCGGGGTTTAAGGGAAACATTCTTTGTCAGGCTGCGTCGACCACAATACTGATCAAATTTTGTTCAATATCGATATCTACCTCAATGGTATCTTCAAAGATGTTGGTCACGTTAACCACAATCTGTTATCAACAGAGGGGGCGACGTGTTAACTGGCTTAAGTAGTAATGATAAATTGAGATTTTTCCCATTTTGGAACCTTTATCAATGATATATATTTCAACGGATTTCTCTCAGCTATATGTGCATGCTGATACTCAGACACTTATTGCGCAAGGTAATCGTAGCTACAAATAATGACGTTATACCGATTTCCGTGTTAATGCTGATTCTATGAAGACAAATGCCAGTAAATCTAAATGCATGTTGATATTTATATCCCATAAGATGGGTAGTATAACAAAGTGATATTTTATCCGTTATTGGTGACGGTACTTTGGTTGCTAGGGTACATTCAGATTCCATTCTAGGTGTAACAGTTGATGATGAAACTTTATTATGGAATGATCATAATGCCTGTCTTACACGCATATATTATAAACTTTTGGGGCATTGTTCTTTGCCTCGGCTAGACCGTCTACATAAGATTAGTGTTGTTTTGTTTTGCTTCGGGGAAAACAACAAAATCATATGTTTCCACAATAAACGTATAACCCAGTTTTACTTTTTCCAAATTTAAAGGTATTAATGTAGATGGACATGAATGTCCCAAAGCCAGATGCCGAAAAGAAAACTTTTAGTCACGTTCTACCAAATTATGGATCTAATTTTTTATTTGGGTTAAAGAGAACATAGTTTTAAATATAGCTGAACTTCTGCATTTTTATAATTCATTTGTAATGTATACTTTTCAATTTATTGTTTCCCTGAATTTATAGTTATAATGAGACACGTCGAATAAACTGAGTAATTAGAACACTCAGTGTTTTACTGCTATTCTTACAATAGATGATTTGAATGAATACAAACATGTATCAAATAATCTCATACCTGTTCGTAAACAAACAAATAACCAGACAGACAGATAAATAAATAAATAAATAAATAAATAAATAAATAAATAAATAAATAAATAAATAAATAAATAAATAAATAAATAAATAAATAAATAAATAAATAAATAAATAAATAAATAAATAAATAAATAAATAAATAAATAAATAAATAATGTTTTTTTCGGACTTGGCTTACATGTATCAATCAGATTGAATGGCTTATTATTACTCAACAATTTTTGTTTGACATTTTGATCTGTTTTCAGATTCATCGTACCTGTGCCTACGTTATTTATAAAGGTCTTTCAACCAATATTATATTATTGCATACCATTGAAGGCCGAACTCAATATTTCTTATGGACATTTTCTATACGCCATAAAAGACCTAGATATTCACGCGAGAAAAAGCACGTTAAACACTGCAATAAAGACTGTCCGTTTTCAACATTGTGAAATTCTTTCGTTTTTATGCAGAAAAATACAGTATTTAATATTTATTAAAGTTATTGTTCATATAAAAATTGTTGAACATACTACATAGTTTGTTATTTAATTCTGTTTTTTTTTCAGTCATAATTAAAGACAAATAAAAGACAAAAATATAGAGAATATAGCAAATTATCTTTTTACTGTAATATTCTTGTGTAATCGGTAATTATGCAAGTTATTTACGGGTGCATAGGGAATACATTTTGTTATGAATTATTCTTAATATAAATTTCTGAATTATTTTGTCAAAATCAGATTTGTTCACGACTTTTTTCTCCCAAAAACAAAAATATTTCACAATTTCGAAAACGGAAATTCTTTTTCGTAGTGTTATGTTATATTCAGCGTATTTAGAAATCTTGGTTTAACACCTAAAGTATAAGATATTTAGAACGTGTGGAAAATACTTATAATACGTTTTCTAAAAAAACAAAAGCCGCAAATCTTTCCTTGCTACAGAACATTATTTTATTAACATTTCTAGACGAATTCAACGCAAGTTGCTGACATCAACCCACCGACGGCTCCACGCCAACAGATACCACCTGTTATCAATGCGCCAACTGATATTCCGAGGGTAGTCCTGGGTGCAAAACGCCCTCAAGTGGCTACAACACGACGTGTATTTGTTAGGAAAGTGGTGCAGACAAATAAAGGGCCATTGGTGGTCGTTCGGGCTGTTATAGTTCCTCAGGCCGTACGACAAACAACATCTCAACAGCAACGTGGTAGCCAAGGGGGGTCTACTACAGTGCCTATCCCCCGACAACTACCTAAGAAGAGTACAAATAGCAGAACATGCATTGCTGTGACAGTTATAATTACTGCTATAATAACGGCAATTGTCTTGAGTCTTAGTTTCAGTGAGTATTATTGCGAAACAGCATTATTACAGTGCGGGAAGTTCATTGAATGGATGTAAGATTTTGTTCTTCTTTTTACTTTCTAATATCCTTCTTTGTACTAATATAGGCAATGTTGGTAATAATGATGATAATAATAATAATAATGGATACAGTGGATACGTTGTTACTTTGACTTCATCGCTGATCTTTTCTGACGAATTTGAGGAAATTCTTGAAGATACCAATTCACAAGAATACAAGTACTATACGTCGCAAATGGAGACAGAAGTACGTAAATAATTATTCATATTATATTAATGTAACTTTGATTAAAGCGGAGGGGTGAGCATGCGCGGGAATTGAGTCCTAAGCAGCGATAGTCTGGAAATATTGATTTAATAAGGGTGTACATTTATTTCAACGTCACGTTGAAGGCGTACAGAAAACGAATAACTCTTTGCAATTGTTCTGGAAATTAGTATATTCATATTGACTATTCGGCATACTTTATTTATTGGTCATTTACAGTCACAGTCTCATACAAACCTCCACGGAGAAATCTCCGCAACCTTTTCCAAACTATTGTGAAGAGGATCGACGAAACATTATGAGGTAGTCAGAGTACTGCCACAACCGATTGTGTAACAATGTGTGTTCTAGCCGTCCTGAATACCGGTGAGGGAAAAGGAAAATAACTAACCTACGGAGTGAAATTAAAGAAAAAGTTGTAAACGTTCGCGTCAAGTAAAACCTGCCACGATTCAATACTCAGAGATCGATTTATTAATAACAATATGGAAAAATATCTGTAAGTTTCGATTGCATCAGGAACTGGTTGAACGTAAACACTAATTCTAGGCGGTTACTTGCACACAGAACCGAATATTTAGAAATTCGTATGTAATTATGATATCAAATATTGTAAAGAGGTTAATTATTCACTTGGTTTTAATTTTGCTTATTTCGCTGACTGGAAAATGTGCTAAATTAAAACCCAGTGAATATGCAAGATTTAGCATAGAACACATTATCTAAATGATAATACCGTGAATTTAAAACCCACTGAATATGCCTGAAATGGTAAATCAACGAAATTTAAACTCAGTGAAAATTAATCATTTTACAGTACCCACTTCGATATGTGATAAAAAAAATCCAAAGTTGTTGAATAATTAATTATTATGTTAATGCACAAGTAATGCTGTAGTAAGTAACATATTACTATCGACTATAGAGCCAAACAAACAGCAAGTCATTACTCGCTACCATTTATTACGCAAACCGCGTACACCGAAACGATACTTCTCGGCTACTTCAAATGAAAGATGAAAAATTCCCAGTGACCGGATTACCTCCATCTGCAAAAGTGTCATTCGCGATCATAGTGTGTAGCTCTTCCGACGTTACCGAGCCTCCCGCATTCCTGAAGTTACCATCAATGTTGATAGGGGCATGGTTTCACATTTTTATTTAGTTGGCGCGTCAATCTTTTTTAGTTTGGTACGTCGGTGTTTTCGTTTCACAATTTGGTTGGTAGTTAGCCAATTCATCATGCACCGCGCGTTAGTAGATTCATTGTTATGACGTGGTGAACATATTTTCAGATTGATCATATACTACTTTTAACAACTTCAACATACAAGAATTATGATTTATCAAGATTCCGTGACATTAATGTTGGGTAAGTTTGAATAAACAAAAGCTTTCATGCAATTGTGTTATTATGTTTCCATAACGATTACTTATTATTCCTGCATATAGGATGATTCATTTGCGTTAACCAACTGCTTATATTCTTTATGCTACGCTGTGATTGTTACAGCTTCCGCTGGTGCATATTATTCGAATATCCACCTATTTCCTAATGTTTAAATAATCATTTTTATCGACACAATAATCACAATTTGACGACGTCGATCTATTTTTAATTTCGGGTAAAAATATTGCCTTGTGTTCAAAATCGAATAGTTATGTCGTATTTCCACGAAGAGTTTGGTTATTTAAGATCCATGCGTTGTCAAATGTTTTTAGAAAATTATTGGCACATGTTGCAATATTATAAACACAAATATAATTCCAATAATCTTATTTTAATATATATATATATATATATATATATATATATATATATATATTATGTTAAACAGGTTGTATTCATCGGATTTGATATTTCATATCTTTATGAAGAGCGCCGTGAAAACAAGCACTATCGACAACGCACTTACAAGCGGAATATCTTCATATGATTCAAACGCAATTCTTTCGTTGCTGAGCATAAGTTACGTGACGGTTGTTTCAAGTAAGTGGATATAATAAAATATTTTTACACGAGAGATAGTAATATGGCTTTAAATGATTTCCCATAGTCGACAATTTTGACGTTTGGTTGAACTTCAAAAAAGTTCATGAACAAATGGTCACTTACTGGTAAACCAACAATTCATTGGGATATACGGACAATAGCAATGGGGTTTCACATCCCAAATCAACGTAACGCCGTGGTGGCGTGCGCTGAAACACGTGAGTGGGCGACTTTCAGAACCTCATCGTTTTAAAGACATTCTTCAAAAAAACTTCCCTGGCCTGGGACTGCACTTTTCCATAATTGTGTTTGGTTTATTGAAATATAATTGTAGTTGATACATGAATTGAAGAAGACAAATGTGTGTAGTCGTTATAGAATATAGAATATCAGCAGATCATGTTAAACATATTATAATGTTTGTTATTTACAGATAAAGGTCTGAAATATCCTTCAACACCTCGTATGCCCACTGCTCCAACTTACACATCAGCAGGTTTGTTGCTTTAAAACACCCAATGATGAAACTGTATATTTATTATCAATGTACAATCTTGACGAAATCAAACCAAATATTTCACACTTCTGAAAATAAAACAGTTGAAACATCAGAACTACATCAGCTAGCATGTTATTGTAGCTAATTTTGCTAATTCAAGATGTCGCTAATTAAGAATAAAGTATATTTCCACGATGAGATTGTTAGCACTTTAGCTAAATTAGGATTCAGTTCATGCATAGAGTCAAATTCGCTAAAATGGCATGTTGCTATTTAAACATGTTTCACAGTATTTGTAACGAGATATTCATTTTGCTTATAGATTGTACTTCTTTTGAGTTTACCTGTGAATCCTCTCGATGCATTTCTTCTACACAACAATGTAACGGTTATAGTGAATGTATGGATATGTCAGATGAGGATTGGAGACGGTGTTATGGTAATTGCAAAGATAATATTATTTTTTATGTACGAAATTAAGATGTTTGGCCGCTGTGAGCACAAATCATTGCGCAATGCAACACGTAATGTCGTAATCTTTTTCCAGCGTGTGTGTGATAATATACAAACACTAGTACGGATCTCCAAGCCAAAACCTCGTCCAATGATACAATGTTAGGATGTAGGATACACGAAATCAGATCCTGTGTTTTTTAAACTTTGACTTGACTGTTCAACCTCTAATCATAAATTCAACATGCTCGGTGGTATTGTTCAAATGTGAGTGACTTTTGATTAAAAGTATTCATAACATCAACAAATATGCTATTTGCTATATGTTTCAGATTGCCAGCCGGTAACCATCAACGCTTGTACAAATGTTCTGCCGTACACGTCAGCATATTTTCCTAACAAAGTTGTAACAACTCAGGAAATGGCCACTAACATGCTCTCCAAAATAGAAGACTACCTACACTGCCACGAATATGCGACATTGTTTGCGTGTTTAACGTACGCACCATCGTGTCCGAGTGATGCTGGATTTATCCAAAGACCTTGTCGTTTGTTTTGCTATTCAGTGTTGTACAGTTGTCTCAATGTATTGAGAGAATTGGCTATTCAGTTTAGTTGTTCTGATTTAGACAATAATGCAGGATGTTGGCAACCACAATCAGGTGAGTATACTCTATACATCTCTTTCGCCTGTTTAACTATAGGGGGCAGCAGGTATTATATAACATCTCTGTACATACATGCATTGGTTTATTTGCTTTTTCAATGTTTATTTATCTGATTAACAACTCTGGTTGTCAATTAAGCCTAATTGGGATAAACAGCATGTGTTTGATTATGCAAATTAAAAACAACAGCTTAAATGTACGGAAAACGGAAAGGGTGGAAACTCTCGGGGCAGTGGCATGAGGTGGTCAGTAGAATGGCTAGCCAATTTAACGTATGCATAAACAAACAGGAAGTCAATCTCCTGCACAAGTCATGTGACGTAAGACAGGATCAGCTAAATAAACAAAGCAAATAAACTAATGCATGTTCAGAGATGGTATAGAATGCCTGCTTCCCCCTGCGTATAACGTTGTCACTCACTCACTCACTCACTAGCGTGACCAAGGACGTTTTTTTAAATAAAATATCCCAATTTGGTTGCATAATTTGGAAATTCAAGTTCACCAGTTGACCATAAAAAGGACTGACTTAAGGGAATATGAAACTGATAGAACATTTGTTTTTATAGCCCAATTTGTACTTTTATTGTAGGATGCATCATATATGGAAAATTCCTTCAAGATTCAAGAGAACTGCCTGGACACCATTTGTATTTTATTTGTGTGTCAGTCGAAAGCGTTTTATAGAGCAATTTTGTCCACAAATTTTATCTCCTGAAACAGTAAGACTGTTTTATGTGAAGCCAAAGCTAATATTAAAAATCAAATACATCATATCTGTTGCCTATAAAACTTAAATAATAAACGTTGATTGTAACATTATTTATTTACTTGTATCAAAACGAATTATTTTAATTAAGGTACTTGTGACGTCATGGAGTTCAGATGCAATGATGGCCGCTGCATTCATGTCAGTGGTAAATGTGATGGAGCAAACGATTGCTGGGACGAATCTGACGAAGACAACTGTGAGTAGAAGAATCGACTCAAATTCATACTAATACATACGTTGGATATTGTTTGTTGATGTTTGTTTACATTTCAAATTGCAATTTATCTGTTAGGAAACTTTGTGTGGTATTATTTGCTCAATATCTACAACAGAATACTTCACTCACAATTACTGCAGGTAATTATCATGACGGTGATTGTAACGAATTCCAATACCGCTGTAACGACAATAGTAAATGCATTCCATTGGGATGGCGATGTGACGACACAAACGACTGCCCTGATGCATCTGATGAGGCTGACTGTTATCAAAGTAAGGTTATATCAGGAATTATGATTTTCGAAATTAAGTTTCCTTATTTGAATAATATTCGAGATGTAGTTCACACATAAGAGTTTTTTTTTTCTTTTGTTTCAGCTTCGACGCGTTGTTCATATTCAGAGTTCACCTGTGCCAATAGAACATGTATACCGATCTCTAAGAGATGTGACTCAAATAATGACTGCGGGGATAATTCAGATGAAACAGTTGCATTGTGTGGATCTGTGTGTCCAGACGATGGAGAACAAATGAGTTGCTCAAATGTTCATAAATGTGTCATGAAAACGCAAGAATGCGATGATAACAAAGATTGTCCTGATAATTCGGATGAATCCAAGTGTGGTAATAAAATATTAATTGTTTATATAATAACATGAATGTAACTTGCAGGGTTATTTTTTAGATTTTCCTTAGATAGGTTTTGCTAATCGTAATAATTATTATTTGTTCACGATTCGTTACAGTTAAAATGTTTGGGTCAATGTTATATGCCAAGTACAATGCCTCATGGATACCCATATGTGCTAATGGATGGTATAATGCTTATAGTCGTGTGGTATGTCAACAGTTGGGATTTGGGTAAGTAATAATTGGTTAATATCCATTGTGTATTACATACCATATATTATGAAGTGCTTAACTTCAGATAAAGAATTAAAGTGTGCAATGTTATTATCCCTAGAAATGTTTCAAAAACATATTACTATACAAACGATGGATTCGATAAGTCTGCAACGTTACGTCCATCCGTAACAGTGAATGATTTGAAGAATATACGAAATGCACTTGAAGTAAGGTATGTATAGAATATATACTTGTAAATTACATACAATAGCTGATTCTAAACCCATAACCACAACGTTCTCACCCCACGACAAATATATACACTATATATCAGTTGAAAGAACATAGCAGTGAACTGTTGAAGGTGTTTAGTATTGAGCTTTGTATTGTAAACTCGAATTGCACGTAACAGACCATGTATTTTAACATGCGTTGTATACTTGTATGCATTTATGATGACTCTGTGATTGTGTATATAGTATAGTATTTGTTTATCTGTTTCATGTTATCAATTCATAGCACAGAAACATGTTCGAACGATCAGCTTGTAAGCTTGGAATGCACAGGAATAGGTATTTATTTATTTATTTATTTATTTATTTATTTATTTATTTATTTATTTATTTATTTATTTATTTATTTATTTATTTATTTATTTATTTATTTATTTATTTATTTATTTATTTATTTATTTATTTATTTATTTATTTATTTATTTATTTATGTTTGTTTACCTGTCTGTCTGGTTGTTTTTTATTTGCTTACGGACATTTAAGAGAATATTTGATACATGTTTGTATTCATTTATGCAGGGTGCGGATTACTAGCAGATCAACCATCCAGTAGAAT